TTAAATGTATCTGAAACCCACTTTTATCTCTTCTGTATACTGCCCTTGATGAAAAACAGCTGCCGACTTGGATTATCTATAAGGACAGAAGTACATCATTTGAAGGTTTGATGATACCAGCACATCTTAATGTAATCAAATCAGAGTTTAAACTGTGACTAGCAGAATGGAAGGGAAGCCATCACTCTCACACCGACGGGCCTCAGATCTGTTTCTGGCTGTCACCTAAAGCCAAGGTGGGGTGAGTCCCTGCAGGCCACAGCCTCAGAGCAGTGAGCTCTGCTGAGACCTGCTCACAGACCTCTTTCCCTCCTCCCTGGGCCCCGACTCCACCGAAACATCCTGTCTAGCTTGGTGGATCCCTGAAATGTTGTATTTCAATCACCCTGGAAACATTAAAAAAAGAAAAAGCCCAGTGACAGAAGAGCAAGGCTTCACCACCAGAGGATCATCAGCTCTCCTTCGCTGCTGGGGCAGAAGTCACGGCCCCTGACCCCTTCATCACACACCTGCCACATTCTTGTGAACACGTCAAACCCACAAGCCTGCTTGATGAGTCACGTCACCCAGGAATCTAGGGAACCAAGTTCACATCACCCTGAGCGGCAGGAAGGGCCCTCCAAGGTCAGGGAGCAAGTCCAAACAGAATGACCATGCCTGCCCCATGCATCATCCTGTAATCTGCTTCCAGTCCTCTAATCCCCAGCCCAGCCTGTGCATACCAGGAACATTCCTCCTCCACAGAGCAAAATGGTCCGCGTACGAAGGGCACCCATCCTTCCCATCTCCAAGAAAATCATTAACCATTTCTACACGTCAGACAGCCCTTGGGATGCAGACAGCTGCTCCAATCTGTCTCTAAGGACCTAGAAGTTTTAATAATTCTATCATAAATGTTTCTTCACACGTCATAAAAGTGAAATTTAACTTGACCTAAGAATAAAGAATACATTGTTAACCCCTCGGCTATGGACTAGCTTGTCTAAATCAACTTGATGCAACTATCATTACACTGAACTCTTTCACAATTAGCTCAAAACAACTGTTTCCAAAAAAAAAAAAAAGAATTGGTAAAATTAGATGCACGCAAAATTATAAGATATATACCGTATTTTATATTACCGTGGGAATACTTCTCATTTCAATTTCAGAACATACAGTGAATGTCTCAAGGGAAGTGTTTCCATACTTCCACTCAGAGGTAGCGTGTGGGGGACTTGAGGGCACACAGCCCATGCCGGGGCCGGGCTGAGAGAGGTCCGAGCTACTCTTCTGTTTTCCTCTAATTGGTATTATTTTCAAGGTTTTACCCTAAAAGTATCTAATTCTCAATAAGATTTTAGCCCAGACGTTGTTGCTTAGTGGATTGAGCATCATCCCATGGACTGAGAGGTCCTGGTTCAATTCCCAGTCAGGACACATGCCCAGGCTGCGGGCTCGATCCCCAGTGGGGGGCATGCAGGAGGCAGCCTGTCGATGTTTCTCTTTCACATCAGTGTTCTATCGCTCTCTCCCTTCCTCTCTCTCTAAAAAATCAATAAGAATGTGGTTAAAAAAAAAAAAATTTTTACAAGGTTATTTTATGCTATAAATCCCCTAGTTCAAATACTAAATACTTCGCAAAGATTCGCACCACCAGTCATGAGAATGTTAACACTGGACTGGTTCATCTCAAAGCATCCGCTCTGACCCCTAGCAGGATAAGAAGTTGGACAATTAGAATATTTTATGTTCTGTTCATTTACATTCCTGTTGTCTGGGGAGGAAAGTTTTGGTTACAGAGACACCTATGTGGTTTAGGAAGAAGAAATTCAGACATTAGGCTCAGATCTGTGGACCAGTAATACCCACACTGACTGTTCAGGAATGACACTAAGGTACACATGAACCTTAGGAACATTAGGAGCGATTACTAAGTAAAAAGAAGGAGCGATTACTAAGTAAAAAGAAGGAAAATAACTATCACTATGGTTTGAAGGCCAGCAGGATTTGGAGTGGCAAGACTTTGATTCATCAAACAATAAAAATCAAACAATAACCAAATGAGTACTGGGTGCCACGAAAGAATTCTGCAAATAGTATTTCATTTAATCCTTGTACCTGCCTTCAGAGGTTTTCTATACCCACAGCGGATGACAAAGCTGGGCCTTGCTGAAATCAGACACAGTTACGAGACAAAGCCAAGAGCTGAAGCCACCCCAAAACAGACAACTGATATTCGGGCATCTGAAACACGCCAGCATTCCCGTCCCTCCTCAAAATGTTCTGAAACTGAAATGTTTGAGCTTTTTGTACCATTCTTACAACATGAAAATGGGAAATTATTTCAGAATTTTAGAAGTTAACCTGTGATTACCCACTGCCTCTAGCAGGAGAGCCAAGGGGCAAGGAGGTGATGAAGAGGGGTGTCTGCTGTGAGAAGTTTCGGGGAGGGTGGGGGCGGGGACTGTGTGGTAATATCCAGACGTCAGAATACTGGTCCGCTCTTTCAGTCGGTCAACAGATCCCGCTTCAGTACCTCCTCTGTACTGCGTACTGACAATGTGAGGTGACTAAGTGAGGGGCTCCCCGCCAGGACGCAGTCTGTAAGGGGAGACAGAGATCGGAAGTGACCAAGTGAGGGGCTCCCCGCCAGGACGCAGTCTATAAGGGGAGACAGAGATCGGAGGTAACTAAGTGGGGGGCTCCCCGCCAGGACGCAGTCTGTAAGGGGAGACAGAGATCGGAGCAAGCCATACAATACGATATGCTCACACGGTGTGAGCGTGGGGACTGAGCCCTGGGAGGGTTAGGGCGTACTTCCTGGGGGAGGTAACATTTGCTTTGTGGTCTCAAAGAATGAGGAGGCGTTATCCTGGCAGAGAACAGAAGGGTCACCCAGGCAGGGCCTATTTCCACAGGCATGGAGGTAGGAGAGATGACAGCGTGTCCTGTACACGGAAGACAGTTGCCTGGGACTGCTGCCTGGGCAGGGTGGCGCTGGCGGGGGCGGCAGCAAGATGATGCTGGAGAGGTGGGTGGGGACCACGATTCTGGATCTGCCCAGTGTGGCCCACATTCTGTGCCCCGTGGGAAGCCAAAGGTTATCAGGCGGGAGAAGGGCCGCGATCAGATCACTCGTGTGGTTCTGTAGAAGATGGGCTGGAGGAAGCCAGACAGGGGGCACGGAGGCCAGTTGCTACGAACTCTACTTGGAAGACACCCTGGCAGCTCGAAGGCCCTTGGTGACCCTCTGAGCTAGTTCTCCATATTCCAAGTGACGAACTGAGGTCTGGAAATGTTCAGAGACTCGCACAAAGCCACCCAGCTAGCGCCCCCCGCCGGCCAGATCGCCCAAGAAAAGGAAGCGCTCTCCAGCCTGGCCTCCTAGGGGCAGCTTCCACTGTACCTGCTTGAAAACGGCAACAGGAAGGTTAGAAAACAATAGTTGGTAAAGGAGTGAAGACACGTTTCCACACTGGTTCTGGATGCCTGCTGTTTCATGTACCAGGTAACTACCCCGAGCAACACAGCTGACTTCCTGAGTGAAACACACAGAAGGACAGACGAGAAAACGGAAGGAAAGTGCATAGCTGCTGCCTAGATCGACCGCAGTAGTCAAGCCTGGTGGTTCACACATGCTGAGATGCAGAGTCAAGGACAAAGTCCTTTCTGTGGAGCAAGAATGAATTCTTTCCTAAGGGCAGAGGGTCACCGCTTGAGATGTGTTGTCCAAAAAGAAAGCCAGCTGCCAAGAAAATGCTTCATCTACAAAACTCTTCGCAGTTGGTCCCCAGGGATGCTCCACCAGCAGTAATCTCGGAGGACGAGCCAAGTCACTGAGCTGAGATGCTAACCCTGACCCTCCACTGTAATTTGAGGACAGGGAAGTAAGTCTGTTCTGTTTTCCAGAACACTCAAATCTTCAAATGAAACAAAAATTTTCAAGATCTGAAAAATCAAACACTCCCCACCCCCACCGCCAACAGCCCTCTCATAATTTCACCACAAAGAAAGTGATCTACATGGAGAATTAATTTTCAAGGTAGAAACATTTTCTGATGCCTGCATCTCTCCCAAAGGGCCCTAGAGACTTTACGTCTGGGCATGAAGTATACGGGGTGTCAGCGGGATCTCGGGGCTCCCTCCATCTCACAACGTGATTCAGACTGAGCCCCTCTGTTTGCACTATCTGAGGATCACAGTGAAAGACAACACATTAGCTTCCTCTGGATCATTGCTACATTTTATGGAATATCTTGAAAGACTGTATCCAAAAAGCCAGCATCTTGATAAAAAGCCAATGTCCAGGCTGGAGTAGGGAGAGGGGAAAACGTGTCCTTGGTGAAATACTGAGCTGCCAAGTCACGAATGCCGGAGACTGTCCCAACACTGAACACTGTAAACACGAACGGCCTTACTGTTAGGCAGTGCCATGGGGGCTTCTCAGCATTTCAATCAAAGTCATTCCAGTACTTTTTCAAATCAAAATATTGGTTTCCAGTGACTGAGATATGTCACTTATTTCAGTCTTAGCATGCTTTATAAAGATGTAGTCCTCTGAAAAATATCATAAAAAGAAAAAAAAAAGCCTGGCCGGTGTGGCTCAGTGGACTGAGCATCATCCCATGGACTGAGAGGTCCTGGTTCGACTCCTGGTCAGGGCACACGCCCATGTTGCAGGCTTGATCCCCAGTGGGGGTTGTCTTTCTCTCACATCAATGCTCTCTCTCTCTCTAAAAAATCAATAAAAACATATTTTTAAAAAATTATATAATCTAAAAAAGGAAAAAAAAGAAACAGAGCATGCCATGGCTTCTATTGGTCACAGACGGAGAAAATCAGCCACAATAATAAATTCGTGGGGGTGGAGTGTGTCGTCACACACAGAGCCAGGATATGTGATCAGAAGGTGTGTGAGGGGGAGTTCACACCATATGTCAGGAGCAACATGTTCCTCCAAAATGGCCCGACGCCACCCCTGGCGCCGGGGCGCTCTGCCAAACCTACCCAACTCTTACCAGGTACTGCAGTCGCTGGCGCTCGGACTCGGGGGTGAATTCCGAAGACATGGGGATGATTTCTCCATTTCTGATGATTATGGCCCTGAAACAGTTAAAATGCATTGTCAGCAGCCACTCTCATAGGTACCCCGGTTCTGTGTTAATCCCACAGCTTGGTTTTGAGAACACACATGAAATGCCCAGGGGATACTTTCTCCTCCAACCTGCATGGCAAAGTTCACTGCTACCAACTCGGTCTCACCTCCTCACAGGTGTGTGCACTTTAAGAATGTCACTTTACCCAGCCAGAGTGGCTCCGTGGTTCAGTCCCAGCCCTGGTGCTGGTCATGCAGGATGCAACCGATGGATGTGTCTCTCTTGCACCGATGTTTCTCTCTCTCTCTCTCTCTCCTTCCCTTCCTCCCTTCCGTTCTCTCTAAAAATCAATGAAAAAAATATCCTTGGATGAGGATTAACAATAAAACAAAACAACAAAACAAAACAAAAACAAAGACTGTCAAAAAGTTGTTGGTTTGATTCCCTGTCAGGGCACACACCTGGGTTGGGGATTGGATCCCCAGACAGGTATGGAAGGCAACCGACCAATGTCTCTCTCTTCCCCTCCCTCCTTACGCATGTCCTGAGTTGAGGATTAAAACAGAACAAAGGATGTCACATTCGAGTTAGTTTATGTATTACTTCTTCTGCCAGCTGGACCAGGCATCAACGCCCAGCTCCAGGCCTACTGACTGGCACACAGTAGGTGCTCAGGGAGCACAGGGATGACTGGATGGACGACGGAACGGAGGCCCACTCTAGGCGGGCGTCCCCCAGAGCTTCCTGTGGCGACAGCAGTGTTTACGCCTGCGCACTCCCAGGGCAGCCACGGGTGGGCACTGAGCACCTGAGTTGCGGTCAGCACCGCCGAGAAACGGAATTTTTAATTTTATCTAATTTTAATCAATCTAGCTTTAAGGTCAGGCAGTCACAGTGGCCGGTGCCTAATGCAGGAGACAGCACAGCTCTAGGGCCTCGCACTCGGCATCCACAGGCTGGTGCACGAGCCCCACCGTGGAGCTTGTGAGAAATGGACTCTGCGGCGCCCCCGGACTTGTGCATCAGAATGTGCTGTAGTAGGACCCCCGGCGACTCCCCGGCTCATCAGACTCTAAGGACGCCTGCAGGGCTCCTGAGTTTCTAGGGCACCATCCTGGGTCTGGGAAAACCCACTCTCATGGCATCTTAGAGCTCGGGAAATTCACACACTCCCCAAAATGTGCCCAAGAGCTACTGCTGACCCCAGGACTTTTTAGAGAACAGAGTTCCCCAAAGTGGACGTCTCGAGGAGAGGCTGCAGATCAATGACTGAGAAACAACCTTTCCAAGGCTGAGAATGAGGGGCCTCTCGTCACAGACGCAGCTATAGATCGGTTATGGTGGAAGGCTGCCATTCCTACGGCAAATGCAAGTGGCTTGGGGAACTGCGTCCTGTTCAAACCCAAGCTCCCTGTTACCAGGCAGCCAGAGACCTGAGACCTGGCACCCGTCCCTGTGAAGACCCACAAACACGGACGTGCCTGTGATGAGCTCAGCTCTGGGCGATGCCTCGCTGACTCCGGGGGAGGCCGAGTCCTTTGTGCCAAGAAGCCCTGGCACGGGTCCCTCCCCTGCAGGGGCAGCCCTGACTTAGAAATGGTCCCTACAAATGGCCACAGCTGTCGCAGCCCCGCCCCCAGCCCCTTACCACCTGTGCCCAGTTGCCGCTGTCATAGAAACCAGTCGGGCGGCAAGGGAGGAGATGACAACAAAAAGCTTGGGGGCTCTGGAAAATTTTCGGTCTAGAAGGAAAGCGGTGGGAGCTGTGAGGAAATGGAAACGTTGGAGGGAGCTGCCCCGGAGAAGAGGGTGCTCCTGCTTTGACACCTGTGTCACCTCTTTCATCATGCTGCAGAAAACAGGACGATAAAGAGTCTTTCTTATAAACCCAGAGCCACTTGTAAAATGCAACCACCCGCCCCCCAGAGGTGGCATCCACCATTCCCACATCAGCACGAGCTCGTTCAAACGGTCTTTGTCCTGATCACCAGTTGAGAATAACGGCAAGAAGGGGGTCTGACAGAGGATGGAGAACCTTGAAAGGAAGGTATAGGTTAGGGCCCAATCTTAAAGTAGCCAGAAGGCTCTGAGAACCTGGGAACTAGAGCAAAAGTCATTATGTGATAAATGCCACAGTCAACCTTCTGTTTCTTTTCTTTTCTTTTTTCTTTTGGCTAATCCTCACCCGAGGGTATTTTTCCACTGATTTTTAGATAAAGAGGAAGGGAGGAGGGGAGGGAGAGAGAGAAACATTGATGTGAGAGAGGCACATTGACTGGTTGCCTCCCACCGGGGTCAGAACCTGCAATCCAGGTGTGCACCCTTGACTGGGAATCAAACCCAAGACCCTCTGGCCCCTGGGCCGACGCTCTAACTGCTGAGCCACACTGGCTGAGGCTGAAACATTTTCTAAAACCAGTCTTAACTCTTTTTCTTCCCTCTCTACATGGCCCCGAATTCCAGCTTCCAGGCTCAAACTAGGAAAGGTGGATGTCCGGGAAGGAAGGGCGAGAGGAAAAGACGGAAGATAGGGAGTCAGACTGGAGTGTCAGAAACCCGGGGGGAGGAAGGCCGTCGTCAGTGGGGCCTGCGCGGGGACGCCACCAAGCTTCTCCGGGACCTTGGTGTCAGGAGGGCAGGGCCTCGTCTATTTTGTTCACTCTTTCATTCCAAACGCTTGGCATAGTGCCTGTCACACAGCATGAGCCCAGTAAACATTTACTGAGTGAAGGCACAGAGGAGACAACTTAGGAGAAACTCTTCCTTGAACTTGAGGCAAAAAGAGAGAACTAAGAGGCAGCAGATGTCCATTCACACAAGTGAAGTGAGGCCGACGCCACAGAGCAAGAGGGGCCTCCACCCGGGAATGTACCTGCTCCCTCCCTGTCTTTGCCTCTGGTCTTCCGCACCAGAGTGAGTCCCTCAGCCCCTCCTCAGGCTCCTCCCTCCCTCTCTGCATTCCCAACCTCTCTCTCCCACAGTTCAACAGCATGCTCAAAGCACTTTGTGTTTAAAACCAAACAACCAAACCAGAACTAAGCAAATGATACTCTCCTAATCCAAAACCACCTTCAGAGTCTGTTCTCTTTTCTTTCCTACGAAGCCAAGGTTTACAAATAATGATCAGGGTCTCTACTTCCTCATGCCCCATGGATCCCTCCTTCATTACTGCCCCTCTCTTTACCCAGCTGCTCTCACGAGTCACCAAATGGCCTCTTGGTTGCTATACCCACTGGGCATGAACACAACCCAACCTCCTTGACAGTCTCTCAATCCTGGCAACTGGGATACTTGTTCTCCTGGTTTCCCTCCTCCCCCCGGTACCCCCTTCTCAGACTTCTCTATGGGCCACCATTTGGTCTCTCTACCTCCCTCCCTGGGCAATCCCAACTCCTGGACCCCCAAAACGAGGTTTAGAGGTCTCTCCTACATACTCCCTTACCCTGGTACTTCTAATACAGAACCATGACTTTTGTTCTTGACGACTCGTCTGCCCTCCACACTAGCCGGTTACCTCCAAAGGCAAGAACCGCGTCTGTCTTGCTCCACGCTGCAGCGCCAGTGCTACACACAGGACTGGCCACTCATTTCCAGGGTCCAGGGCAAAGTGAACACAGGACCTCTCGTTAGTGAGGATGTTAAGATACTGGCAGCAAAGCATTAAACCAATTGTGGGGCCCTCCTGAGAGGGAGCCTGGGTGGCCACACAGGTCACGCACACGAGGCTGGCTCCGATGGTGTGCCCCTGATATTTACTAAATAAAAAGCCACTTCAGCAACGACATACGCTGATGATTCCAAATGTCCTCTCCAGCCCCCACACCTCTGCCGTGCTCTAGCCCGGGACAGCCACCTGCCAACAGACATCTCCTGGACATTCACCGGCACCTCAGACTTAGCATGTTTCAAGCTTAATGAAAGATCCTGCCCCCAGCACACACCCCAGTCTGTCCTTCCAACATCTCCCATTTCAGGAAACACTACTTTACTTCCCACCTGGTTGCCCATCCCAGACCGGAAAGCCCTTTCAGACTTATGTCTCTCACCCTCCAAGTCCAAAGAGGCACCAAGTGCTGCAGATGTCCCTTCTCGACAGCATGTGAATCAGTCCCTTTCTTTGATTCACACGGTTTCTGCCTGGATTTGGGTCCCCTTTCGAACATGTCTACATGACTCAGGTGCTCTCCCTGCTCCCAGGCCCGCCTGGCCATGTGCTCCACGGTCACCAAGGTGACTTTGAGCATCTCTCATCATATCATATCCCTTACCTGAAGCCCCTAATGGCTACCCGGAATTTCCAATGTCCTTCACCATGGTTTTTGCCTAAATTTCTGGCTTCAGCCTCATTCCTGTTACTCCTTACACGTCTGCCTTCCCCTTCTCCGGGCCAGCCTATTCCTCCCCGAGAATCAGCCCAGGAGAATGCCTTCCTTTGCCTTCCTGGTCTCTCTTCGATGCCCCTTCCCTGTGACCCACCCCATGACGTCATGCGCCCAGCCGCATTCCGCCCTCACCGCCCTCACACATCGGCGCTGCCGCGGCCTCTAACCGCCCCAACCTTGTCCGCCCGGGCAGAACCCACGTCCTTGCCTCGGAACCTCAGCACTCTGCCTGGCGCGTGGCGGACGCACAGACACCGCCTGGCGAAGGCTAAGTGACTACATGAACGAGGAGCGAGCTCGCCCTGGGTGGATGAACAGGATTTTCGAGAGCGAAGGCCCCAAACAAAAATTTTCTTAGTAGCAACATTATTATCTGTAATTGTCTAACTGTATATATAATCAGCCCTCAAAAACCCATCATGCCTTTTCACTGGTTTTACAAAAAGACAATACACCTAAAAGAATGTTGTTCTGGCTGAGTCACCACTGGAAAGATAAGGGGGACTGAGGCAGAGCCCCTGACCTTGGGGGGCAGAGAGGGGAGTGGGCAACAGGGGTGACCACCTCAATGTCTACTGTTCTTAAATTTCAAATTCACGCACAAGGAGGTCTCAGCATTCAACTC